CCCTGACAGTGTCCAAGGCCAGGCTGGACAGGGCTTGGGGCAGGCTGGGGCAGGGGAAGTGTCCCTGCCAAGGGAAGGGGCTGGATGAGGTTCCCTTCTGCCCTGAGCCTCCTGTGATCCCGAGGGGCTCTGGGAGGTGCAGGGGTTGGTGCAAGGGGTTCAAGGACAGACAGGTTTGCCTGGGCTTTCTCACCAGGCAAACTGTGAAATTGTAACAGGAACCCCTAGCAAAGAGCAGGATTAATGCATGGCATGAGAGCAAATGCAGCACACAGGGGCAAGGCTTTGAAGGGGCAGGCTGTGCTCCAGCAGGCTGAGAGGGAGCCAGAGACCATCTGAAAGGGATGGTGTGTTTGCCATGGCATGCTTAGATTTCCAAAAAAGATTTGACAAAGGCTCATAAAGCAATTAAGCTGTCACAGGATGAGAAGGAGGATCCTCACATGGATTAATAATTGATTAAAAGACAGGAAACAAAGAATAGGAATAATGGCCCTTGGTGATTAGTAACTAGGTTACTGGTGGAGCTCCAGTGGAACTGGTGGAACCTGCATTGTTCGTTAATGTGGGGCATGGAAAGGATGTGAATGCTGATGTGACAAAATGTGCTGTTGATACAAAAGAGGTAAGAATAGTGCAAATAAAAGCTGTCTGTGAAGCACTGCAGAGGTATCCACAGTGCTGAGTGACAGGACAATAAAACGAGAGAGGGAATTCAGTGTCAATGGGTACAAAATAATATACATGGTGAAAAGCAACTGTAACTATATGTGTACAATGATGGGCTCTAATTACCTTCCATCAGTCAGGAAAAGTATCCAGCACCATCACGGGTAGTTCTCTGAACACTTCAGCTCCATGCAGGAGCAGGCAGAAAGGCAAATGGAACATCAGGAACTGAGTCCATAAATCCCAGTGTACCCACATCTTAATTGCTGTATTTTGTCTCAAAAAAGAGAAGTCAAGAGATGCAGAAAGGGACGAGTGTGGACATGGATCAGGCACATGAAATGAGGAGATTCTGAGGAGGGAAGAGCTTTTCTGGTGTGGAAAAGACAAAACTGGGTACGAGAGCTGTCTGTGAAGTGTAGGTGGTGGGGACAGTGAACTGGGAAGGTTTTGTGAGGTAGTTCAGAGACAGGAGGTGCTCACCCCAAACACTGGGGTGGCAATGGCTCATTGGAACAAGAGGAATACCTTTCCTCATGCAGTGTAATAAATTCAGGATGTAAATGTCATGGAAATGGGAAATTCAAAAGTGTTTTGGACAAATGCATGGACTGTGAAGGGAACAGAAACAGCTGATATAGCACAGGTGGAACTGGGGTGTTGGTGAGGATTTTGGGAGCTCTTGAAGGTGAAGAGAGGGATATATAGGCATAGGGATGTGTTTTGTTGCAGAGACTAAGGCTGTAAAATATGGCCTCAGTTTTCAACAGTTTGGGTTGTTTTGTTGATACTGGTCTTTTTTGTTTAGGTTTGACAACTCCACAAACATTAAATATTCTTTCTATAATCCTTATTTCACCCTAGTAACTAGTTTGGAGACGGAGAGGGGTTTAGTTGGGGTTTTGTTTAAAGCCTGGTTCCCTGTTGCAGTGTTAGTATTGTTTATTGTGCAGATTCACCCCTGACCGTGGCATTCTTCATTGCTATTGAAAGTTAATGGGGGAAAAATTGCATTCCAAACATTTGAACCCGTAGTAGCCATGGCTGAACTTAGTTGATCTCTGGTGATCGGTTCAATTTAGTTACGATTTTTAGCCATTAGGCTGGGGCTGAATGATGGTGATTTGGTTGAGGCCAAATGTCTGCAGAAAATTGGCTGTTTGATAAGAGCCCTGTTATCAGAGGGGGATACTTTCTCATTTACATTTAGATGAGTATTGATTATTTATTTACTCAGAGAAGTGAGATTCGTTCCCAATCTTATCTCTCTAGTCTCTGCTTGTCAGCAGAAAGAGAGAGAGAGCTCCTGACAACAGCCCAAGATAACAGCACTTTGTAGTGGAGATAAAAGTTGGAATGGGCCTTTTTCTAGTCTTGACTGAAAGGATAAGTTTTAAAAATTAGAACTGATGGGTCGTGCTTTCAAAAGCCCTTTCTGAAAGCTTTGCAGCTTAAATGGCAACAGAATTGGTTTGTTGGTATGTGGGTGGCTGTTCCCTTCTGCAGGGGGGACCCTTAATTTGATTATAGGGTGGGATTCTTCCCAGGCACCTTTGTGTGCTCCTAGGGAAGCCGTGGGTCTTGAGGTCTGTTTCCTTGTTTTTAATTCCTGATGAACATTCCTGTCTCTAAAGGGCTGTTTTGAAACAGCCAAGAGGGTCTGTGTGGACAGAATCCATGGTGAGAGTGGCTCAACAGGGATTCAGATGGAAGGGCTGTGTGTGATGGAGGATCACCCCCAGGAGGGGTGAGGAGCCCTGGGGAGCTGCCAGCAGCAGGAGAGCTTGGCTTGGCACACTGGCCAGGACAGCCCATGCCAGGATCTTAAAGGTTTATTTTACAACTGCATTGAACATTTGCATGAGATTACAGAAATCCATAAAATCCATCTTTGGTATTGCCACTTGAAAATTTGTTGAAATTCACAGAGCAGGATTCCATTAGGAGACCATTAAATTATCTAATATTCCTACTACAGTGACATCATTTGAACTTGTGAGAGAAGCCTGATAGTAAAACTCCTCCACAGACTCAGCCTAACATTCTTCATCTGTTGGGAAGCAGAGGTCAAGTAAATGTGGACAGATATTTAAAGTGTAATTGAAGAGCAGATACTCTCTGAAAATCCGTTTGCACTTTTTTATTAATTTCTCAGCATTTGCTTTTTTATGAATTTCCCAGTATTTTCTGGTTTTAAGGAATTATCCATAAGGCAGGCTGACCTGGTTCCTGCTCTGGAGCTCTATTTCCCTGCTTCATTAGCAGAGTTAATACAGGCTTGACACACACTGGGTAAAACAATTTACCTGATCGTGGAGTTCTCAAGCTGCTCCAGATACAAGTGACCCTGAGCCAGTGCAGGGTGTGTTGAGGGTGATCCCTGGTGGCTCTCCTCAGGGTTCAGCAGCGTGGGGACTGTTTCTGATGAGGGTGCTGTTCTTTGGGGTGCATCAGCTGCTGGAATGGGATCCTCACAGAGGGAGCACCAGCCCTGCCTACACTGAACCCTTCACTGTGCCAGGGTTTGCCCCCCTGAGCAGGGCTTTGGGACTGACTACCAGCAGCACAGATGTTCAGGTCTGTGCCAGCAGTTCCCTTGGATGGAGCTTGGGAATCTCTGGAAGGTGCTTGGGATGAACAGACAAAGCCATTGGGTTCTGCTGTCGCTGGTCCTGTTCTTAAACCCACGCCAGATTTTAAATCCAAATTGATTTACTGCTTTGAGATTTGTTTCAATTCAGTATATTTTGCTTCTGCCTAACAAGCAGGCCTCTGTTTATCTGATTTATTTTAAATTTAAATAGTTAATCACATTTCCAGTAGCTGGAGAGGAGCAGGGTTGGTGCTGGGTCTGTTTGCCTTTCTCTGTGCTGCGTGGTTTGCACTGAGATGCTTTGTCAGCCCCTGGTGCCACCACTGGCTGTGCTGGGCAGGGGGAGCCTCCTGTGTCCTGCAGAAAGGCTGGCACTGCCTCTGCTGAGTGGCACTGGGAGTGAGGAGAGTCCACAAGGCTCCACCCAGGGAGGGAGCGCGCCGCCCGAGCAGTGAGTGCCTCACGTGGCTGTGGGGAGATGGAATGAGAAGCTGTAATTGGAATTCTGCTGTAGTAAATTTAAAATTAATTGGCTAACAAATTCCATTCCGTAGGCATACCATCTGAGGCTGAAAGACTTAATTTTTTTATATATTTTAAATATTTCATCATATACGCTCGTAATTCAAAGTCAGCAAACAGTCAGAAATCTTTTAAGTAGTGGTGAAGAGGGAATAGATTTTGTTATTTCAGTTCTAGGTTTTTTGTTACTTTGAGACCTGGTTAAAGAGGCTTTGAATCACTTAAGATTTTTCAGCTATCTGTTCAGGTTATTTTACTGGATTGTGGGAAATTATGGAAAATGATTGTTTGTGGAAAATACACAGCAGAGAGCTTGGTGTGCACTTCAGCTCCAGGTGTGAGCAGGAGTGGAGCTTTGGCCCCACCAGCTCCTGCCCTTGGCTTTTCTTCTTTGGGGTCCCCCCTGGAACTTGGTGCACTGGGATCTCCCCCCACCCTGCCAGGGCCTCTCCCAGCCACTGTCAGGACAGCAGGGCTGGAGCTGGCTCACGGGGCTTCACCTGGGATTGGAGCAGTGTCCTGCTTTTGTTCCAGATAAGGCATGTAGTTTAAGGATCCGTTCAACTAGAAGATTTTTTTAATGGCCTAGTTTTTGTAAAAACAATTTTTTAAACGTTTTCTGTAGTTGTAAAACAGCTTTTAAAGTGGTATTATCCTTACTTTGGGGATTTGGTTGGGAAGAAAGAAGTTGGCACCTGAACCTTCAGGATCTACTGTCAAAATGTGAAAATAATTCATTCAAAGCAGCAGCATCTGTCCCTCTGTGTGATGCAGCCCATAAGGAAGGGCTGATTTCCTTCCCAGGTGCTTCCCAGTTCTCTGTGCAGGAAAGAGGGATGGGAGCAGCAGGGAGCAAACACTGGGAGCTTCTTCACCCAGGAAAAATGCCCCAAAAATGCCCCCAGGGCGTCCAGCGAGGTCTGAGGGGTGGTTCCCACTCCAGGCAGGGGCTTGGTGCACCTCACCTGGTATAGGGACAAGGTGGGAGTGTTGGAAGGGGTTTGGCAGGTCAGGGGACAGCTGGAGACAGCAGGAATGTGCTGTTTCCTTCCACACCATCCTCCAGCTGCTGACAGGGCCCTTCCTTGGCACAGGGCTGAGGCACCAACACCCACCTGCTGTGCTCCTGGGCTGCGAGTAACCTCGTGTTAGTTGAACGTGCTAAGCCATCCTGTGTTAGAAAACAGATGATTTTACAAGTTACTTTATGTTTCAGGTCCTCAGTATCGGCTGGAGAAGCAGAATGAACCTAATGTCCCAGTAGATTTAGACTGTACCTTGGAGAGCCAGAGCACTTTGGAATTCTGCCTTGTCCGGGAGAACAGTATGTTTCCCCTTTTCACTTTTGCTCTTGTAAACTGCTTAAACTCACATAAGTTATGTATTTTGGAACACAAGCTGTACTGTCTGGGCAAGTACATTTTGACGAGACTCTCTGTCCCGAGGCACTTCTCCATGGTGCCAAAACAATATTCCAGAGGGAAATGATGGATTTCATACCTTTAGTAAATAGTCTGCATCCTGTTTATCACTTCATGATTAATCTTTTGCTGTTAAACTGCTCTGTAAAGTTATGACCAACCCTGAAAAACACGAAATATGAACCTGTCTGTGCTGCAGACATTGCTCAGTGAGTCGAGGGGTTGGTCTGCAGGGTGTTGTGCTGTGTCAGTGTGGCTGTCAGAGGCACTGGGCTTTTCTAATACAATTTAAAGAAATTAGCCATGCAGAAATAACTACAGCAGTTTGATGATTTTTGAAGTGCCAGACAAATAATCATCTCTCCAGCACTATTTTAATGATCCTAATATTTATTTCCTGATTTATTTATTTACTTGAAACAATATGAAACTTTAAAAAGAAACATTTAACATTGATTTGTGTTTGTTCCCCATGGCATTTTGATCCATTTTTCATTCTTTACAACAGCCACGCTCTCAGGTTTGGTGTTCTTTCGTTCCATTTTGTGTAAAAATGTTGATTGTACGAATGAGTAAAACCAGTGACAGTCCTACCCTCAGCCAAGAACACTGCACACAGCCATAGTGAGAGCCTGCTTCAAGTAGAGGAAGAATTTGTTCCTTCTGTGCAAAGGTTAAACCTTTCAATTGGTGCTTTTTGGCCACAGCAACTGCATCTTAGCCAGATTGGCAGCAGAGCATCCCCAAAGCAGCCCTGGCTGCAGCAGTGAGCAGCAGTGAGAGGCATCAGCACGAGCTCCCAGTGCTGCTGGGCTGGGACTGGCCTCACAGCCTTGGCTGCTGCTCTCTGTGTGGTGGGACTTGCTCCCAAAATACTCCCCCTGCTCCTGGTTCATTTCTGCATAAAATGGTTCTGAGGAACTGTAGAGAGACCTTGGCAAGAGGGAGCAGGGGGGCTGTGCTGAGGAAATGGAGCAATTCTGACCTCCCTAATCGAGTTGTGCTCTTCCACAAGCCAGAATTCCCCGACGTCTGCATCCCACCTATTATTTTTGTATTGATTTTTAATCTATGAAATGATGCTCACTAGTCATACTTCCATGGGTTTTGCTTGTGATTTAAAATAACATTTTTTTAAACCCAGGCTCCGTAATTAAAAGAATACTGTAGCTACTGCATTTTTAATGTATTTTCATCATCTTTGGAGGAATCCAGGCTGTGGCCTGCAGCTGTATCTCCTGCTCAGGTTGCACCAAACTCCCCAAACTGGAGCACTCCTGCCCCGGGTCAGAGTCAGTGGTGCCCATCCAGGAGCACGCCCTGGAGCCCTGCTGGGGTGGGACTCCCCAGGCAGGAGTCCCAGCTGGGGCACAGAGGGGCTCCAGGACAGTGCAGCTTGTGAGATAACTCACAGTCCCTGCCTCCTGCAGAGCCTGGCTCCCCCCTGCACCGTCAGAAAATGGATTTTGGGGTGCTTAGGAGCTGTCTTTTGGCATGGAAATATTGACAGTTTTGCACTATTAATAAAATAATGGCTTGACAATCCTATCAGCAAACTGAAACATTCACTTTGGGCATTCTGTCTTGATTTGAAATACTTTTAGCTTTGATATGCCAGTTAGAAAACACTGTTGTAACAGCTATTACTTGTAAATGTGCTCTTCATAGTCTCATAGTCATTTATAAATATATATATGGATGATGCCAAGCATCTCCTGGGAGAAGAGCAGGCACATTCCTTTGGGCAAAGAGAAAGTTTATATTTCAGGGTATTAAATGAAACAAAAACTTTCCATTATTAAGAAATATGTATGGAGAAATCCCCTTTCCAGGCAGCATTTACTAATAGCATTCAAGCTAATAAACTGCTTCCAGTGTGCAGAACTTTTAACTTGCACAAAGATTTATCTTTAAACTGAAAGCTGCACTTTGTAATGTGAAATGCCTTTATGTGTGGTAGGAAGACGCTCATGGCTAATTTAGTTTTATTCTTGCCATCTTACTTCTGGAAAGTTCCTCTTTCTCATTTTATCATTAGATAGTAATTAGTATTCAAGGGAAATTGGTCTTAATATATTAAAATTGGTTTAGTGCCTTTAGACCTATAGCAAAGCCAATGTCTTATTGGAAAATGTAATTGGGGACTCTGTGTATGTAATTAATTGTATTGCAATTAAGAACTTTCATTAAGCAATATTCTAGTACATTAAAGTAATAAGGGACATTTTTGCAGTGCAGTTAACTTTGTGTTTTGTTGTTTTATCGAGGAAATGCAGGTTCACTTCTCTCCAAGAGGCTGCATGTGACATTTCAGAGCTGTGGTGCTCCCAGCGAGCCATTTTTGTCTGTGCTGGGTGCTGGCAGGGGTCCCTGTCACAGGAGGCTCCTGGTTTAGCTGGGTCCCCGTGGGAGGAGCTGCTGCTTTGGCTGCTGCCTGGCTTCCAGCTCGTGGAGCTGGTGTTCTTTTTCCATTGCTGCTGCTCTCGTTTGAAACTCAGTGAGGAGATGGACCCGAGTGCCCGATCCCGCTCTGTTCCACGGGGACTCAGCTCTGAGCTGGGGCTGTGTGGGCAGCCAGGTGCAGGGCTCAGTTCTGCCATGTCACAGCTCCTGTGCCAGCACAGGGGCCACTGTGACACACAGGGAGGGGACAGGGTTGTGGGGACAGGAGGAGGGTCCCGGCTGGCAGGGCAGCAGGGCGGCAGTGCCACTGCCACCCTCCTGCCTCGCTGCCAGGCACTGCCACACCGCAGCTCTCCAGATGCTTTTAAGTGCACCAAAAAGTTTGACATATCTCAGTGTATCTTTGGAGTAGTGCAGCATGAGGGTTTGACATGATACATTATGATAATCCATGGTATAGAGACATTAACACAGGGGTCTGTGACAAAATGCATTGTAATGTCTCGGAAGGAGCCATTACAATTTATCTTGTCATTCTGGAGCATGGAGTGGTTGCAGTGTTAAGATGGCTCTGCATAAATTCACATGGAGACTGTTTAATTTGATTTTTGGAATCCTTTCAAGTCGAATGGCACAGCCCAATTTGTAGCTTAACCCTTCGGTGTCCCCCTTCCCCAAAGGCCCAGGGTGTGTGAGAAGGGCAGTGCTGGGAAAGCTGTGGTGAAATTCTGTGATTTGGGAATCTCCTGCTTTATGCTCCCCATGTGGTTTTGGACTCATTTAACAGCAGATGCTCACAGTGGTGTAGTGCTGGGGATGCTCCAACAGTACAAGTCTCAAGCAAAATTAATACTGAAAAATCTGACAAGTTGGTACCTGCTTTGCTGGAGCTTTAAGATCTGTACTAAAACTCCATCATCTCATCTTCCCATTATTAAAATTTCAGCAAAATATAAAGTTTTCATTAATCTCCTGCAGCAAATTTAGTTCTCTGAAATGGCAGTTCGTTCAGCTTTTAGGACTACATTAGCCAGGATATTAAACAAAACGTGTCATCCTCAGGATCTCCTGTAAGAAGCTAAATCAGTTTTCAAATATATTTATGCCACTTTATCTACCAGCATCTGAATGATCATTTCGAGCTGAGGTGCTTTATTAGCAGCTGGCATTGAAATTACTCTGTGCAATTATATATCGCATTATAGTAATGTTGAAATTGGTGTTAATCCAACGTCATAAAATGTAAAAAATCTTTAAAGTGTGTTATATTTTTTCAGTAATTGGCATTTTGGCTTAATGAGTTGTTGCCTTTTATAAAGGCAGTACCTGCAGTGGTAATGAGAATACTAATCAGTAAATGAAGTGCAGCTTCACATCAGCGTGCCCGAGGTGCTGCTGGCACGTGGGAGGTCTGTGCTGGCATCGAGGGGGCACCTCTGAAGACAGACAGCTGTGAGGACAGACAGCTGTGGGGACAGACAGCTGTGGGGACAGACACCCCTGGGGACACACCCCTGGGGACAGACAGCTGTGGGGTGACTTCTGGGCAGCTCTGGCCTCCTTCCTGGGTGGCAGGGGCGGGTGGCCGCAGGGTCCCCTCTCATCCCTGCTCAAGCCCCGGTCAGGGCTGCCCGTGCCACCAGCACGGTGTGGCCACAGGGGTCTGCCAGCGTGGGCTCGGTGCCTGGTGGCTGGCCCGGGTGAGGGTGGCGTGTCCTCGTCCCAGGGCAGGGCCCGCGCACTCGGAGTCCCTGGGCAGCCCCGCGGTGCCGCCGCGCCGGCCGGGCACGCCCCATCCAAGCTCCCCTCAGCACCCCGGCCGTGTCTTGCAGGTTCCAGAGGAGAAGAGGTCTCAGAGGAGGATCCCCAGATCGACATTGCCACGGTGCAGGACATGCTCAGCAGCCACCACTACAAGTCCTTCAAAGTCAGCATGATCCACCGGCTGCGGTTCACCACGGACGTGCAGCTAGGTAATGCGCAGCCAGAGCTGTGCCTGGCAGCTGCCGCTCCGCAGCAATCATTATCACCTCGGGCCGTTTTCTCATGGAGCATGTCAAAGTGTTGCTGGCATTTCAGCAGTTAAAAATATTGCTTTCCCTTGAAAATACTTCAGTATTTTTATTATCCCCAATCAGTTGCACATGTTGCCTCTGAACGAAGGCCATTATTTAATGACCTCGTCTCTTTTTTCCAGTCTAGGCTTCCTAATGGAAAGCTTCTTGCCAACTGTTTTGTTATTTTTAAATGAGGCTTTGCAAAATTGGGAGTTATTGGGTTTTTCCTTTTCTGAGACTGAAAGATTTTTAACGACCTAGTGGAAATTTGAGGTGGAACAAAATAAATGAGCATTCTCTAAAGGTTTTATATTGTCCTTATTGGCTTGCTGAATGCTTTTGAAAACCTGAAGGCCAAGGGCTGACAGAATCCTGAATTATAAAAGCCCCATTACTGTTTTAAAATGATTGAATGGCTTTTTATCTTTGTGTTTAAATTGTGAAAATTTGATTAATGATGCATTGGTAGGTGACCTGTGACATTCCTGCAAATACTTCCATAAAGAAATGATTCAGCAGTAAGATATTAAGTGCCATAATGTTTACAAAATACATTTATACTGTAGAATTCAGAATTGTTAAACTATAGCGACTCCTGTATTATTGTCACTACTGTCTCTTCATTCTTCCATCCTGAAGCAGATGGGAGAGTACTTGTGTGTAAAATTCTCACAGAAGATGCTTTTTAGGTTTATTTTGAGCTGTCTAGTTGAGGCAGGATTTATCTGCTGGTGCTGGAGCAGGGCAGTGCTGGGCATGTTCGCTGCCTTGAGCAAACTCTCGGGGTGTGATAGTTTGCTTCCAGTGAAGTTTGACTCACTGTATCTGGGAAGTGTCAGAAATGAGAGCTTGAAAAGGTCATGACAGATCACTAAAGATAAATGGTTAAGGGAGAAGAGCTGTTAAATGAAACAAATGGCTTAACTTGAACAGCAGTGGAGGAGCTGACCCTGCCCAGTGCTGTAAGGACCATAAAATTTCCCTTTTATAACAATCTGTGAACTTGTGTGATTTTGATGGCAGTGCACTGACAATAGGGCTTTATAATCTAATTTTTTTTTTTTTAATCAAAGAAAACCCCAGCAGGGTGTTCAAACCTTGGGCAAATGTAGAACACCAGAATCTTTCTATAACATCTGAGTAAGTTGATGGGCTTCCTCCTGAATTTTTAAAAGATATTAGAAGATCAAGACTGGCAAAACAAGGACTGAGGCGCTGTTTGGGTTTGGGCTGATGAGTGTTACATGTTTATATGAGTGACAGACTGCTTCTTCCTCCCTGAAATGGAAAAAACAGAGGCTAATTTTTTGTCTTCAGTCATGGTGACTGGTCTGGGGGCTGCTCTCCAGCAGGTTGGTGGTGGCCAGTTGCAAAGACTTTTCTTTGCAGCTTTTTTGTGCCATCAGTTCTGGGCAGCAGCCTTAGCAGGGCACGTGTTTCTCAAGGACCCCAAAAATCCTCTGTCATGCCCTGGCTCCTTGTTGGCAGAGCAGTGGTGTCAGTGGCTGTGCAGGAGTGGATTGCACTTTTTGAAATATTTTAGCTGTTTTGAGGCCTGATCATTGAATTTGAGACAAGGTTTATGAAAAACATTGGAGTAAATTTGATTTTTGTACGTTGTGCAGTATGTACAGTACTATCTGTAGTAAAAGGTGATATGTGGATGGCCATGGGAGGAGTGCCCAGCTCTGAGTGATGGGGTTATTGCATTTAAGGTGGCAGTTTCAGGTCTGGGGTTTGTGTTTCAGCCCATATCACAGGGTAATGCACACACAGCAGCACTCTCAGCAGTTTTACAAAGGCTCTATCGTGTTGTGGAGGAATAAGACACATTCACTTGTGTATTACATTAGCACAACTAACAGGAGCTTATTGTCTGGGAAAACAACTGCTGGCCAGTATTTCAGAAAGGGGAGGGGGCAATTGCAGACCCCAACAAAGGGAGCAAGAACACAACACTGCTACTGGACCCATACATTGATGGCATGCCTTTTGACAAAATGAATGAATTTAAAAAATAGGAGAAGGAGCATTTTTACTTGGGTTTTTTGTATGAGTGATTTGTGCTGCAAGACAGAGACTGCAGAAGCCACAGACACAATACTGTTTTGATTTTAGGTTTCAACACATCCAGATTATAAGAACAATAACACAAAAAAGACAACATTCTTTGTCAATGTACTCTCTGGATGTGGGTGAGCTTCAGCCAGCGATGTTGAGATACAGAAATAATGGATGAAGTATACAGCAACAATTTGCAGATAAAAATAATAGAAGTTAAAGTGTATTTTACATGATAAAAAAAAGATGAAAGAGGAGGAAGTCTGTTCCATCTGAGATGGTTACAAAATGGTGAAGTAGCCTCTGCTGAGAAGATTGATGCAATGGGGAGTGACCTTGGCTTGGAGCAGGAGCTGGTGATGTATGTATGAGCATCTCGCTGCTAAATGGACCCAGATTTGTAGCACTAATATACATGGAAGCCCAGAACCAAACTCAGGATGGCAATAAATCAACAGCCACTTTGGGTGTCATTTCTGGTTTATATTCCACTATTGTTCTATCACTTTAATTCATGTCACTATCATCTGTTCATCTGGAACAGTTTTATATAATTTTCCAGTGGAGTTACCTGACAAATCCTATCAAATTAACAAGGTGCATTAACAGTATTGACTGAGTGTGAATTCTGAAGTTTCAGGACCAAACAGTGACATTTTTTGGAGGATATTTATAGGGGTGATGCTCTTAGAGGAAGGGATGGGGAACAGCCCTCACACACCAAGAATTTGCACCTTTATTTTTAGAACTTCCCCTGACTTTTTTTTTGTGAGAAAATGAGACTTTGTATCATCAACTTCCATATTTTCCTTAAACTCCAGCAAATACCATTTGGAATAATGAACCATTACAGTGAAATACCAACACTGATTTTACATAATCTGTCCAAAATTAAATCACAAACCAAAATGGGCTCCAGATACAGCCTCAGCCTACTCAAATTAGTGAGTTCCAGAAGCCTGGGTGTTAATTGGACTCTTGATACAATGCTTAATTGCAATGTGATCTCTGTGATGTGAGGTGTGTTTAATGCATTGTTGGGTTAGTGGGGTGCTCCCATAACCCACAGGGTGGGCAAGGCTGGCCTGGTCTCAGGCCAGGGGCTGCAGCCAGACCCCCCCCCAGGCTCCTGCCTCATCAGAACCCTCAGGAGGGAGAAAGTTTTCTGCTTTTTTTCCAGAGATGCGAGAGTTAAATTATATTTAAATAGTTTTTTTTCCTATATTGCTTCCTTTTGTTGATGTCTCACGAGCTTCACCCTGTAACTCATGCCTGAAGACACATCATTGCTTTAAAGGCTCTGCACACCTAGATGTAAAAAGCTGCCTGGAAGTTTGCTCAGCTCTGTTCAGTTCCTGAACTGGTTCCAGCAGGATCCTCCTTGCCCTCTGCACTGGTGTGGCCCCACCTTGGTTATTGTGTGCAGTTCTGGGCACCACAATGTGAAAAGGACATGAAGCCATTAGAGAGCACCCAGAGGAAGCCACGAGGGTGGGGAAGGGCCTGGAGGGGAAGTCTCATGAGGAGCAAGTGAGGCTGCTTTGTTTGGAGGAGGCTGAGGTCAGACCTGCTGTGAGCTTTAGATCCTCACGAGGGGAAGCAGAGGGGCAGGGGCCAACCTCTGCCCTGGTGACCCTGACAGGACCCAAGGGGGTAGCTGAAGCTCAGTCAGGGCGCATTTAGGTATGGATATCACATTTAGGTATGGATATCACATTTAGGTATGGATATCACATTTAGGTTGGATATCAGGAAGAGGATTTTCACCCAGAGCAGGGCTGGGCTCTGGAACAGGCTTCCCCAGAGAGTGATTCCAGCATCAGCCCTGCCTGGGTCCAAGAGGTGTTTGACAGTGCTCAGGCCCAGGTGGGGTTTTTGGGGTGCCCTGTGCAGGGCCAGATTTGGGCTCAGTGATCCTGATGGGTCCCTTCCAGCTCAGCACATTCTGAACCTCTGGTTCTGTTATTGTGTGATTGTATGTCTGCTGTGCAGCAGATGGAGTGGGGTGGGTGGAGATAGTGTCTGTTACACAGAGCAGTGGTGACTGCAAAACCAGCACTATCTCCTATAAATCTCACTGCTCGTGCAGCTACTGCTTCCAGGAGAGCTCTGTATGCTTTTAGAAGAATCTTTTCTGTGATATTTCTTTTCTTTTGGTATGCATTTGCAGGAGAATAAAATGCAGATTATCAGTGCAGTTTGATAACCATTTGCTTCTGGTTTCAAAAGCTCCCCTGCTTTCAGAAAGCCCAGAAGGGCAATATACCTTCAGCCCATTTAAGATTTATAAAGTGTGTCAAACGGCTGATATGAAATCGGTTAAACAGATCACTCTTGTGGCTCTCTATTCTTTCTCATCTCAGGTATTTCTGGAGACAAGGTAGAGATAGACCCTGTTACTAATCAGAAGGCCAGCACTAAGTTTTGGATTAAGCAGAAACCCATTTCAATCGATTCTGAACTCCTCTGTGCCTGTGACCTTGCGGAAGAAAAAAGCCCAAGTGAGTAGTCCTTTTTATTTATGTTCTCTCTTCTCTGCCTCCCTGGATGTGCTCCATGTCCAAAGAATTATTGCTACCATGTCCTTTTCTTTCTATAGGTGTGTTTTTTTCATTACAGGATGTTTTTAATCTGACTCAGTTCTGTTACAGAGAACACAGCATAAACAGACACACATTTTACGAGTGTCCTTTGATGCTGCTCTCAGCTAATGGCATCACTCAGTGTTTCTTGCCCACTGTGACACCGAGGGAACTCTGGCTCTGCCCAGCTGTCTCCAGCCCTGCAGCACAGCCAGCAAATCCATGTTTCAACATAATTGCAATTTTTTGTCACTTTTTAACTTCCAGACTGGTTTTAAATGTCTTTGGTGCAACTGAAGATCTGGGGCGTAGAGTGGGTGTCAGCTCAGTCTGGATTTGCAGGGTCACTGGGATTAAAGGTGCCACTCTGGGCATTCTGTTCTGTGCTGGTGACTGGGCCAGGACAGCAGGGACAGCCAGGTCTGGGGACAGGCTGGACATCCCAGCTCAGTCATTGCTGGCTCTGTGGAGTGCAACTCCAAAATCAAGGGCTTCTGCTTGTTGTGTCAGTAGAGGAATGAGGGTCTCTGTCTGGGAAAGTTGTTTTAAAAAGCACAGGATGGGCCCTGGGAGGATTGGGCAATGGCTCCCAGTGGGGCCAAAATGGAACTGTCTACTTTCAAAAAGTGACTGCAGTTCAAAAGCTCAGATGGATTTTATTGCACTTGTGCCTCTGCAGGGTAGTGAGATGCTGGTATTAAGTACTTATCTGCAAGGTGACAGAGAGGGAGAATTATGTGATACATATTTACAGAGGTAATGATCTGTTGAATTCTCTTGGAAGAGTAAATTTATGGCTGCCACAGATTTTATCAGCAATTATTGAACTATATCCTTCTCCCCTTCATTACCCCTTCCTACTCCATGTTCTTGGTTTAGTCATTGTCTTCCTTTTCTGTCTCTCCATCAAGATTTCATGGTCCTTGGGTAGGCACAATCCCAAGGAGAAGCTTCCCCAATGACCTGGCAGTCTGAAACACGTGAGGATTTTGTGTACAGTGCAAGGAAGGGCCAGTTTGTGCTGGTGAATCCTGTCACACCTCTGCTTTGTGTCCACATTTCACTGCAAATGCAAACATTGAGGGGATAAAACAGTGCCCACAAAACAAGGCTGTATTTGAAGAGTCCAATGGAAACCTGAGGTTTCCACTGCTGTCAACACACCAGGACACAATCCCTGGGCACCTCGGACCTCGTCCTGCCAGGATGGGGCAGGATGGGGCAGGATGGGGGATCCTGCCAGGACCTCGTCCTGCCAGGATGGGGCTCTCCAGCCCCAGAGGCATCTGCTGCTGTGGGGAATTATGTTTGTACCCAAATCCTGCCAACCCAGGAGTTCCAATCCCAAACAGAGCCCAGGGGCAGGAGGACAGTACCTGCACATGGGAACCATTGAGTGAAGAATCACAGGGGCTTTGGAGAGGACACTGACAGGTTGCAACCAAGGCAACCATGACAGTACTGAAAGGCTTATTTTCTCATTTTTGTGTGAAAATCTTAAACTTTTCCTACTAAATAATGGTTCAGCACAGTTCCAAGAGGAGAAAATACTACTTCCTTCTGAAACTGCTGACCTTTTCCCAACTCACTAAAGATGTTCCAAAAGTCATTATTTTAGGCCAGCAGAAAAGACTTTTAGTGTGACATCTCAGAATGATGCATTTTGGGGAACTGAACAGCAGATCAGTATCTTTTGAATTTTAAATGGAAAAAAGTTATTTTAGTAGCATAAAGGAATGAAACTCACTGTATTTCACAAGTTTTGTCTGTGATTTTTATCAGTACGGTGATGTATGTTTGTAGCAGAGTTTACATCAAAAATTATTCCCAGATCTTTCTTGAATGAATTATTGCAAAGAGAGGCTGAGTACAGATAAGGTCTTTGAGTTCTGCAATATATTTTGTTTTCATGTTTTTATCTCTTGTAACACAAACCTGCTCCATCTCCTCTTTCAGAAGTGCTCGTGCTTGTCCCGTTGTGTCGGGCTCTGGGTTTGGGGCTGCCTTCCCTCCCCAGGCACCTCAGAGGGGTCAGAACCAGCTGGGCTGGGCTGGGCTAGGCTGGGCTGGGATGAGCTCTGCCCTGGTGACTCTGAAGAGGTGAAGGGTTTGGAGCAGCCTCCTACATTTTAGTAAGGGCAAGGGGCATTGGGAATGGAGGCTGAGTGCTGGGGCAGCGTGAGGCTGCAGTGAGATCTCGTGCAGGTGTTCTTTGCTCCCCTCTGCACTGGGTCCTGCAGAGAAGCGTTGGTGGCACCTGAGTGTGTGAAAGGGCTCAGCAGCTTCAGAGCTGTCGTGGTGGGAACACTGATGGACAGCTCAGAGCTGTTTTGGACAGGCTGAGTTTTCCTCTGCTGAGAGTTCACAGAGCTCAGAGCTGCCTTCAGTGAGGGCAGAAAATGAAAACAGAAAGCTCTGGCATCTCATTTGCCATTAGTGGGGGGACTGTGGGCAGGGATGGCTGATGATTTTTGTTTGCCCTTGTAGTAGCCCTGGGTCAGAATTTGAAGTTTTATTTGTAAATTAAATCAGACTCCCTGGGTTTGGACTGAGGGGAGAGTTAATGGCCCTGCTGGCTTGCTTCGATGCCATTAGAACCTGACAACACTGGGCACGAACATCTTCTTTAAATCAGGTTCAGCCTGATTATCACGAGAGATTCTGAATGTTTTGAGTCTTGAAAGGAAGCATCCTATCATGGAGAAATAAGATTTAAGCCTTAATAAAGTAGTTGTCATTTTTATAGCTGAAAAGAGCTTTGTATCTCAATTAAGTGTACATAATATAAAGTCTTAAGGAAGCAACATAATACATTTAATAGAATTATATCCCTTTGCAATAGTGTAATTTAAAGGAAATCTGATTCTGGTAATGTCTCTTACATTACTTGGACAGGGGAGAAACTTCAGTGTCACTGCCCACTGCCGTGTGCAGTGCTCTGTGCCCGAGTGGCTGTGATGGATGTCCAGGGCTGCTGGGCACGGCGGAGCTGGGCAGGGAGTGCAGAGCCCCTGTGCCACCACACCTGACCAGCTGTGCTTTACACGAGCTGCAGAAATTGGATTTATTTGATAATTTACTTGAAACACTGAAGCAACATTCTCTGTGATCCTTTATCTGCCTTTTTTTTTTGTTTTCATGAAGCAGAGACATCTCAGTTGCTTTGTCAAAATACCCTCGGTATGAAGGTAAGTCTAAGCAAAGGTGTTCCGTAGGTCATGGAGTACATGGGTAACTTCAGTTTGTAATTTAATTGCCCGCTTTGCACCCTGCAGCTGAAGATTTCCTTTAAATTCTGATTCCATTGTTGCACTGGGGCTTAACAGAGTGTTAACCTGGTAATAGGCACAGGGCCTCCCCATTATATGTCTCGCTATCGAGCGGTTCTGCATGACTAGTTAAAAAAGATGGCAAGAAGATTAATGAAAGCTGCGAGTGCAGAAGGGGGGCAGGTACCTCGGTAAGACTTCCAGCGAGGAGATATTAGAGCTGAACCAGAGCTTGGCTTTTTCTTTATCCCGTGACCTTTGAACCTGCCTTACTGTCGAGAGCTGCCAGCCCAGCCGACGTTTTGATTGATGTTGCTACACGAGTCAGTCTTTCCCATTGAATTCCACATCTGCACGAAAATAGCTTTTCCAGCAGTATTCACCCTGGCTGCAAGTGATAGCCACAGCGATGCCTGAACCCCCTTTATGTAGTTTTAATTTAAAGCTAAAGGTATTTGATGTTTTAGTTCAGAGTCCAGTTCATCCCGATTATGCACATTGGGTAATCCTAATTTAATGACTTTGTTGCTGGGATGTGGAAGGGCTGAAAATGCCCAGGAAATGTTGGGAAGGCGTTGGTTTCCTGCTGCTCTGGGAGCTCAAACAGAGCTGTTGCAGGTTTGCTCAGAGCCTGCAGTGGGGCCAGAGCAGAGGTAGTGTGTGCTCTGCAATTGATGCATCAAATATCAAGTGCTGGTTCCTGATATCCCCACTCCCACAGCAGAGCAAGAAATAACACAGTAAAATTCCTGCTCAACAGGAGACTAGTCACAGGTTCTGGCCAAAAGGTAAAAACCAGGTTCAGCAGAGAGAATGTTCCCAAACTTCAGCTTGGAGTGGAAGGAGCATCCAAGTGTGGAACAGAAGGAAGAGGCAGGGCAGCCGCGCAGGCAGGGTGCCGGGGCGGCGGCGGGCACAGATGGCTCGGTGTGCCCGGCGGGCAGCTCGGCAGGACGTGTCCCTGCAGAGAAGGGCTGGCAGCGAGGCTGCCCTGGCCTGGCAGCGCCAGCAGCAGCCGGGCACGGGAGCGCTCGGTGCTGATTAACTGCGGCCCCTCCGCCAGCCGCTCGTAAAAGTTCTCCTGAGCGCAATCAGGAGCGCGCATTGCCTCATCCTTTTAACAAATCTGTTTTGTAGCCCTATTAAAAGGGGTCTTCATCTATCCTGTCAAAGCTATTCTGCTGGGGTTTTTTAGTTTAATTACACTATCCAATTAAAACTCCTCGCTGCATTTTGATTCGCCTCTCCTCGGGCCTGAGTGGATGTGACATTTACAAGGCTCGCCTCTCCGGCAGACAATGCGTGATTGATGAGGTGCAGACGCAGTGGAGGAGCCGATTGCCATGTGGAAACACTGCATTTTGATTTATTTATCTTTTTTCCCCAAACAAGGTTGCTGGTAAAGAGGTTTTGGGCAACCCCGAGTTGCACCTCAATTTTCAGCATTTTTGCAAAAATCTTCGTTAGTATTCTGCCTCTGATAATAATTTAAAGAAGAAGCAAAAGGCTTTGGGGGAAAAGAATCCAGATGTGTGAGTAGTTACCGCAGTTTGCCACAAAAGTGGGTGTGTGCTGCACTTTAATTGCAGCTCTGTTTTCAGGACATCTGGACACATGGCACCCTCTACTAGCAATGCTGAGTACCAAGCCTACAGTGGAACATGAAGGGTTGGAGGAAAAGAGATCATGGAATATGCTGCTGCCTGAGAGAATGGGGCAAGCCAGCTGGACCATAGCTGCTATTTTTTTCCTTAACAGTCTTATCATTTGTTCCCACTTAAGTACTGCCCTGGTTTGAGGAGATCCACCCCTGGGCTCAGGCTGCCCACCATGGACCCACCAGTGACTCCACTGGCATCAGAGCTGCCTGCCCTCACTGCCTCTAACTTATGTACCTCTGGGACAAATATCCCTTGCATGAAATGGGATTAACCCCACCTGTACACGCAGGTCCACATCCCTGTTCTGTCTGTCCCTAGCTGAGCTTGGTGCCACGTCTGGATAATCCAACTGCAGCCATGCTGCAACTTGTGACCTCCCCTGTGAAGTGTTTTTTATTACCACAGGATGTCAGGTAGGGTGTTGGATGTTTTTTAACCCTAACACAATTCTTGCAGCTTTGTAGTCCCTTCAGGCCTTCCTCCAGGGTCACAGCATCATTTCTGGGGTATCACACGCGGATTTCAGACAGCTGAGCTCCTCTCCAGTGCTTTGGGCTGCAGAGCAGAGGCTCCCCCATCTCATGCAGGGGTTGGGGGAAATGTGTCTTTGTGCACAAAAGTATTGCTGATATGAAATTTGCTATCCTCATTCCTTGCCTTTTACTGGTGTGTTTCTAATCCTTTTGCATCCTTTCTGGGCCCATGAGAAGAGATTTCAAGGTCTGAGCCTGTTGAGGTCACAGTTTCTGAAGCAGTGATGGCAAAGGATGTCCATAAGTGCTTTGTTCTTCAGAGAGTCCTTCTCCAGCTATTTATTCCAATAATAACTCTTAATTGTTGACTTCTGCCTTATGGCCCTATAATGACAAAGCAATCATCAAGGTATATTGAAAAATTAACATAAATTTGCATTTCTAGTGTTTGTTTGTTTTCTGCTTTGTCCAATTCATGAATATTCTTTTCATCCTCCATATAATTAGGGATTTAATTCTGTTCTGTTTACTGAGTTGGCAAGGAGAGGGTTTGGATGAGGGCTGAATTGTGGGGTGGGAGGAAAATAAGAAAAACTTTCTAGTCTTGGCAGATTCAGTAAAAAAAATTACATTTTCTTGTGCAAATTCATAGCCTTGTTTTCCAAGCAAAAAATGTATCTTTTGGACTTTGATTAAAAGAGTTGATTACTTAGATTAGAGTGATTATTTTTCTACCTGTGTCAGGTGCAGTGTGGGGCCCACCAAGGGTTTGGATGTCTTGCCAAGATTGCAGGAATTAGCACCAGATTTACTGTTGCCTGTAGAAGCACATTATGGCCGGTAGCTGTGGGGCTGTAATAGCTCAGGGTTTCTCAGGGCTGTGGGGATGTGGAGGAGCTGGGGGGATGTGGAGGAGCCGGGGGCTGCAGGCTGGAGGCTGCACAGGAGCTGCAGCAGCCCCCGGCAGTGCAGCGCCGCAGGGCCTCTTCCCTCGCCTCGTTGGCAGTGCAGTGGTGCTAAAAATCAGGAGATGGGGTGAGCAGCTGAACGTGAGACGTGGTGCTGAAGGAGTAAATGAGCTCTCCTTGGTGAATTCCCAGTGAATTAGCATCCTGCCCTTCCCTCGGCTGTAGGCTCCTCTCCAGGAGTAACCACACAGGAACCATTAGTGGTGGGGCTGGGGACATTTATCAGCGCTCCGAGCCGGGCCAAGGGCAGCAGTGGGGAGGTGCTGCTCTGCTGCGGGGCCCTGGCATGGCTGGGGGCTCAGGGGGCACCAGGGGCATTGCCACGAGACCCCCTGGCTGTGCTGAGCTCACCGTGGGCTGTGCCTGCCCCGTGGCAAAAGCTGCTGAGTTTCTGTCATTCCATCTGCTTTCCATAACTGTTCTAACAGACGAACGTGGTCAGGAATAACGTGGATTTTCTGTTGTTGTGCAGCTGATTAATCCTGATTGCAGGGCACTGAGGTTCCTGCAAACACCCAGCCCCTGTTGGTGTGGAGGGATGGTAGCAGCTGCTTGTGCAGCATCTGCATTTGCTTTAAATCCCCCATCACGTGGAGCAGGAGCCACTCGAGTTGCTGCTGTTTGTTACCATCCTTTCACACGGAAACATCAAACCATGGAGGCTCCTATTGATCTCAGAATTGTCAGGGGTGGTGCTCTATTGGAAACAGGTACATCACATATTTAAGCACTCTTGGAAATGGAAATCAATCTCACAATTCATAAATTCCATCTGGCTAGAAGAGTAGCAGAGCAAAGTGCCAGTTAGGATTTCAGTGCACTCATATTTCATGCTGTAAGTAGTGTGTTGTGGACTTGGAGCCCATAAACATGATGCTGTAATGGGGCTTTCTAAGGAAAAGTCTTCTTGGCTTCTTTCCACAGAGTCACCAGTGCCAGCAGGATGGGGCTGGGCTCTGCACGGCCCCGGGTTTGGCATCGGTGCCATGGCCCCGGGAGCCCTGCAGGAGCCACGCTTGGCCAGTGCCCTGCTGGGCAGGCAGGCCCAGAGCAGCCCCTGCCCATGGGAGCAGGAACACTGCCCTGGGCAGTGCTGCCCTGGGCAGGGCAGTGCCCTGGGGACACGTGGTGCCACCACGGCACGAGGCAGGGCTGGGCTCCCGGGAGCAGGGAGCACCTGAAGAGGTTTTGTCTTGATCCACAGCAAGAATTGCCCAGTGACTTTCCAAAACCCGAAATTCAGCAGCTCATGGGGATCCTCTGACCCTGTTTTGTACCAGTTTCATTTCTGATAACCAGTGCGGAATGTTCAGTGTCCAAGGAAAATGGTGGGAGCTGGTGGAGCACGGTGCTGTGTCCCATCCCCAGGAGTGGTGCACTGGCACTTTTGGAATCATTAAGATGCTGTGTTCCAGGCAAAGCTGCATGCATTAACATGCTGATGAGCTCCCAGCTTGGAATTCCGCATTTTTAGTACCACTGAGGCATCATTTGTCAAATGATTTAAAGGGTTGGGTTTTTATTATTATTATTAGCCAATTTTTCAATACAGAATTTATATTCCAGATTAGTGCATCATAATGGTGTTTAATTAACATGCCACAATAAAATACTTGCATCTGAAATTTCCTGGCCACCAATCTGAGCATATATCAGTCACTTTTTGGAAATCTGGAGAATTAGATAATGTAAATAAGATTTCCAATTAGCTTTCCTGCAGGAAAGACCTGGATTTACAGTAATGTGGCTGTTACTTTATGGATTGCTAACTTTGACTGTTGAACTGAATAAATTAGAAAACCGTTGGAAAAGTATCATGTATAGAATACATTTAATTTTAATTTTGAAGCCATCAGCATCCATACAAGTGAAGGATATTTTGCCTTCCTTCGTGTTCCTCGTTAGCCCTTTGTGTCTGAGTCTTCCTCCTGGCACCGCGTGTCCCCGGGCAGCCACGGGCCAGCACCGTGTGCCACAGGGCCAGCAGCTGGAACCTCCATTTGGGACCCGAGCACCAGGAAGGGGCCAGCTGGAGTTTAATGTGCTTTTCCTTGGTGTGGGAGGATTTTGGGAGGAGGGTTTGGAGTGCTGGCTCTGGGGTTCATTGCCATTTTCTGTTCGGTACGAGCCTCCTCCTGCAGCGCCGGCGTGGCCGAGCAGAGCTAACCAGCCTTTTGATGGATTTTTGCATTTCCTGCAGTGGGGATGTGATGGGAAAAGGAACTTTATTGACTGGAGTTCAGCTGCTCCTGCAAGCCACCACTTGCCTTAAATTGAAATGACATGAGAAGCTTGTCAGCATTTCATTGCTTCCTTCTGTCGTGCTGATGGTACACTGAGATCACCATCTGTGGTTTTCTTCTGTCAGGCAACGAGCTCTGCTCAAACTTTACAGGAATATTCTAAGCAGTTTTTTTCTTATCTTTGCAGGTCATGCAATATTTAAACTTACATATCTAAGCAATCATGACTACAAACACCTTTACTTCGAATCAGATGCTGCTACTGTCAATGAAATTGTACTGAAGGTGAGTATTAAATTTTAACGTGACCCAAAATCCTGGTGTTTTACCACTTGTTAGACATGTGAGTGTTCAGGGGCTCTGGAAACACATGAGGGTGCAGTGCCTGAGGACCACTGGGGTGTGTTTCACCTGCCAGGATGGCAGCTCCATGCCTGTTGTTTTATTCATCCTTCCAAAAGCCACACAGCCACTGCCTGTCTGTATGTGGCATTTCCTTTTGTGCTTTTTTAATAGAGACACCATTTTCTGCAGAATTTTATGGGAAACTGCCAAATTTTATTGTGTCTGGGTAGTTTCCACCTCTGGACACGTGGTCAGCAGCCCCGTGCCATGCAGGGTTGGGTGCTCCTGCCCCTCACACTTCCCACTCAGGTGTCTCTGCACAGCACACTGGGGCTTCTCCCCCCTGATCCTTCTCAGGACTGTTTGCTTTCCCTGGGGCCCTGTACAGACACAAACTCCCTTGCTTTGGGAAACAAATTTTTGTTACACTCTTGAAAAATTAAATGGAATTTTCCACAAGTTCATCTTTCATAGCAAGTCAAAATTCAAAAGCAGTAATTCTGGCGAACCATCTGTTATGTTTGCTTTTACTGGCTGTGTGGAGTTTAGAGGATTGTTAAACGACTGACGTGCGATAAAGTAACTTTTATTCATCACACAGGAGGTCAGTGTGTTTGAGGGGTTTCTGATTTGTGAGCTGTTAGGCCAATTCTTCTGTTCCCACTCTATCTTAGATCAGCTATTGCAGTCCCAAACACTCAGAATCATAGAATCACAGAGTCATTAAGGCTAGAGAAGACCTCCAAGATCATCAAGTCCAACTTTTACCCAAGTACCCCCATGCCACATCTCCTTGGGTTTTGAGCACTTCCAGGGCTGGTGACTCCACACATCTGAGACTGGTCATAAACAAAGGCTAAAAAAAGGTTTACTGTCAATAACATGAATATTCAAGAGAGGAATAATATTGAGCAGTACATTTTTTCCAAAGTTGCAGTTTATTTATATAGAACATTATCTAGTTTCATGCACAAGTCACTGGTTTGTTTTCAATTCCATCAGCATTAGAGAGCACAGAAAAATCAGACTTTTCAAATTAGGCTTTTTAGATGATCAAGTGAGAAGGACTGAGACTTTATTGACCATGAAAATTCCCTATATTTTTATGCCTTAAGCTGTAATATGCAATGAAAGTGAAACACTCTACAGTGCATAAAATTGTGCAAGTTTTAAGCCACAGCATATTAGCCAGCTAATGACAGACCAAAGGGCATTTTTATCTTTTTGATTCTTGCATTAACCTTCCATTAAAATTATCTCTGAGATTATCACAAAGCATTGGAGATAATAAATTTAGGGAGTAGCAGGCTTGTTAAATATCATTTTAAAATGCTTTCATCAAGTAAAATGTGCCAAAACACAGGGAAACTCTGAGATTAGCTGAGTATGCAAACATCATAATGGAAGAATTCTTTTTACTGAGGCTGATAAGGTCCTTTATTGATGCTCATTGCTGGATTATCCCAGCACTGGGGGGTCTGCACAGCTCGCTGCCTTCCCCAGAGGTTTGGGTGACCCAAAATGGGACCAGGGACACAGGAGGACAGGCCAGGGCTCTACTGGCACTCTGGGCTCTCTCTGCCATCATCGTGCTGGGACCAGTTAGACCAGAGCCCTGCTGAGGGGTGGGCTGGGGGTCCCTGCCCAGCCCGGGCTGTCCCCCACCTCGGGTGACATTAACTCCACCTCGTGTCTTGCAGGTTAACTATATTCTAGAGTCGCGAGCGAGCACAGCCAGAGCAGAGTATTTTGCTCAGAAACAAAGGAAACTGAGCAGGAGAACAAGCTTTAGCTTCCAGAAGGAGAAGAAGTCGGGCCAGCAGTGAGGCCGAGCCTCGAGCAGAGCCACGAGCTGCGCCTGGGGCCGCCGCGCCCGCCCGGGCCGGGGCTGCTGCACTGCTGCACTGCTGCGCTGCTGCACTGCTGCGCTGCTGCGCTGCTGCGCTGCTGCACTGCTGCGCTGCTGTGCTGCTGCGCTGCTGCACTGCTGCGCTGCTGCGCTGCTGTGCTGCTGCACTGCTGCGCTGCTGTGCTGCTGTGCTGCTGCGCTGCTGTGCTGCTGCGCTGCTGCGCTGCTGTGCTGCTGTGCTGCTGCGCTGCTGTGCTGCTGCGCTGCTGCGCTGCTGCGCTGCCCGCGGCGCAGCGGCCGGCCGGGAATCCGAGCTGCCCTCCTCGGGACGGGAGGTCTCCCCTGTGACAGAAATAAAGAGCCATATCAGCCGGGAAGAAGACTGTTACGCTTCAGGTTCCTTTGATTAGAAATAAGAGAATGACGTAGACTGGCATCATTTAATTACTGTATTATGTACAATCACGAGAAGAGATGTGATTACATATTATTTCACAGCCTGGTTAAAATAAATTATATACATCTGTAGTCCACCCACGTACACGCAGGTATTGCTTGTGACATGATCAAATTTCTAAAAACAAAATGTAGGACAAATGTATCCATTTTTGCTATTAATAAACAGATGTAATCTTTTTCAAGGTCCATATGATGCACAGTTCTTTTGGGGGGAGGCTGCAGTCCCAGATGGTTTCACTTCTGTTGCTGAAGTGCAGGAGGCATCCGTGAGCCAGGAACAGCAGCCGTGGTAGGGGAGCGCTTAGCGAGGGAGCACTGAGACAGTCGAGTCTGTTGTGTTTGTTTTGTTCAAAAATATTTTTATTTAACTGTGCTTTTCAGCTTTGCAAATGCTTTATTGGAAGTTCCTTGCTGAAGGCAGCACAGTGGTTGGAAATCCACGTCTTGTAGGTGGGGAGGAGAGTCCTCCTGCCCGGGACCCTCAGCTGCTGCCACCCTGGGGCTGGCACATCCCCTGGGGCACCTTGCCCCTGGGGACTGAGAAATGCCTTCACCTTCTCTCAATATTATTCTTTAACAATAAAAATTAAGACCTACTTTGTACTATTTGTAACTACCTTGGCCTTGTTCATCCTTAATCCATCAGGGAACACAGGAATGGATGCTGGCACCCAGAGCCGCATTTTTGGTTGAATTCACCAGAGGTGTCTTTCCTGCATCTCTCCAGGTTCCTGGAGCTCTGCACACACTGTCACAGAACTGCCCTGGTTCCCCACGGGGCTGGGGGCAGCTCCCTGGGGCACTGCCCACCCTCTGCCAGCCTCCCACCTTGCTTTTGTACAGAGAAAACTTCCTGAGCCTTAACACAGCGTGGGGAGCAGCCCCTGGGCAGAGGGTGGGCCTGGGTCTCACCTGTTGTGTTTGTTCTGGGTTTCAGCAGCCTGGCCCTGCTCCGAGGCCAAGCCTCGCTGTACAGTCTTCCATGATATCTGCAAAACAAGAGAAATGCTATTTTATAGTATTCTATTAATTTTTAAAATATTTTCTATGTGCAAATGCAGCACAGATACAACGGGAAAAGCCCCTTTGATGTAAATGACTCTTTTAACCGACTCTGTGAAATATTTAACATTAAAGTTGCTCTGTGAATGTTCTTTGGCCACACAGTTTCAATTTTTTTTAACTGAACTGAAAAATTGCCTATTTGGTGCCAGAAACTGCAGCACTCTCCTGTTTCCATGGCCATAGTTCTGTTGCCACCCCCTCACGTGTATTTATTATCAGCAGGGATTCAGCATGTGCAGGTTTGCTCTCAGGAGAGACTGAAAAACTCAACTAATGACATCTCTGCTGTCTGTGACATTTGTGGTACTGTCCCTTGCCCAGACCAGCAGTGTTCACACCCTCCTGGTGTGGGTGTCCTGGGAGCCAGGCAGAGATGGAGAGGCAGAAGCTGCTCCTGGAGGCTGCTCCGAGGGCTGGGTGAGGAGCGGGGAGCTTTGGACCCCAAAGTGGGTTTATTTGCTCCAAAAGAGCCACTGACAGCCAAAAGCCCAGTTTGTTTCCAAAGATCAGGTTCAGTTTGATATATGGCCCGTCCTTAAATCCTGGCAAGATCCAGCATTTCGGGAGCTGCGTCCCTCCCCAGCCCAGGCGTTTCTGCCGCTCGGCGCTCCTGAAGGAGTTAAATGAGCGCTCGTGGCTGCAGTGTGTGCACAGCTGAGCACGGAGCCAGCACGGGCTGGTCTTTCCCCGGTAGCTGTAGATGTAATTGAGTCAGATGGGCATTCAACTGGGTCAGCAAGGCAAGCTGTTCCTCCATCCCCGCTACCGGGCAGAGCAGAGCGTGGCTCCGGCCTGCCGCACGCAGGCAGCTGCTGGAGGCAGCAGAGATCCCCCGAATTCTCTCTGGCTCCTGCTGTCAGAGGAGTCCTGTCCACAGGGACAATTCCCCTCCACCTCCTTGGCTTCATCAGAGATTAGGAGAGCACCAGAGTGACCTTTGAGCAGGGCACACCCTGGCACACACTGGCACCCAAGGCCAGAGCGCTTGATGCTCTCGCTGGGCTCAGCAGGGGTTTGCCACGAGCTCCCAGAGCACCAAATCCAGCCAGAGGCACCTTTTGTTTTGGGCTGGCAGGAGTCTGGTGCGTCCCAGGGGTTTTGCAGCTGCCTCTCAGGCAGGGCTGAGACCTGGCACCAGGACAAGCGAGCGAAACCCATCGCACAGCCGTGGGTGCAGCCCTGAGATTAATGGGGGGAGTTATTTATGGAGACATGTTTGTAATGGGCCCATGAATTCATGGAAATGCGCTGCTGTGGTGGCGGGTGGGGCTGGGTGCTGCTGCTGCAGCTGAAATTAATGCCCCTTAAATCACATCCCAGCACAGCCACCCCTGTGCAGTGCTGGGACAAGGACGGCAACGAGGACGGGGACGTGCGGGCACAGTGGGCACACGGCCAGCTGGGCCAGCAGGAGCGTGCCCTGGCCAGGTGCTGCTCCCTGGCATCACTGCCGTCACTGTGGGAGATCTCGGGGTCACCAAAAAGCCGGGGCACGGGGAGGGCACAGCTGGGCACAGCTCCATGCCGCTGCTCCACTGCATGAAGGGTTAAGCACTGTCATGTTTTATTCTCCCCACACACCTCTGCTTAAATGCAAAAAGAGAAAAAAAATCTCAACAGGGTGTTGTTCACTCTAAAAACCCTAAGCATGATTTGTGAACTCTCACAGCCTGGGTAATCTCATCAGAGTAATGGGATTATATTTCAAATCACCATGGCCTGTTCATTACACATTTAAACTCCTTTGACAGAGGAAAAGTTAAATAAAATGTGTGCGTCAGCCCTGGTTGACTTTCCCAGTTCTCTTTCTTGATTAGACAAACAGATGCTGAGCTCCAAAATGAAAAAATAATGTGCTCATTTATTCATTTTTCTGACAAGTCACAATAGATTTTTAACTACAAATGAGCCCCCTCCCCAGGTGGGAGTGCGGGGTCGGTGTGTGCTGTTAAGGCTGGGAGCCGGTGGCAGGGCTGGAACGGGACACAAGTGGTCATTTCCAGGCTGTGAGCGTGGGGACACGGCCACAATTCCCCTGCCACCCCACTGCCATCACTGCCGGGAGGATTTCTGCCAGGGGCTGGAATTCCACTCCATTCCACTGCTCGCAACCCCGCAGCCCCGCAACCACACAGCACCGCAGCCCCGCAGCCCCGCAGCCCTGCAGCCTTGCAGCCCCGCAGCCCTGGCCCAGCCCCAGCACCCACCCAGGCTTCTGGTACCTCCTCTTGGCTCTGCTCACCCAGGCTGGAACACAGCCATGGGGCAGTGCCAGGGCTGCTGGGGCCACAGGGACGGCTGTGGTGTGGCCATGGGTGTGGCCGTGGTGTGGCATTGAGGATGGATGTGGTGTGGCATTGGGGACAGCTGTGGTGTGGTCATGGGTGTGGCCATGGTGTGGCATTGGGGACAGCTGTGGTGTGGTCACGCTGAGCTCTGCCAGCCACGGGCACGTACCTGCTTGGTGCACTGGAGGTCCCAGCTCCTCTCCCGTTGTCACTGCTCCCAAACCGGCCTCAGCATGAGCACCAGGTGTGCCACGGGGATGTGGGAGAGTCCAGCCCAGGCGTGGAGGGTCTCGGTGTCCCCGGGTCCTGCGTGGGGCCTCACCAGGGCGCTCCAGCCCTTCCCAGGAGCTGCAGATGAAGGAGCAGGCAGGCTGCTGCAGGCATTGGGGTTGAGCAGGCTGGGCTGCTCCTGCTGGAGAGCAAGGGCTCATCAGGGAGCACCGGGACTCTATTAGGGAGCTGAAATGCCAGATAATTAGAAATACACCAGCAAACCCCATTATTGTCAGGAGGCTGCAACTGCGTACAGTAATGAAGCAATTATTAATGAGCAACTGCAAGGCTGTCATTAATTTCAGCTTTTCAGGATCACAGACTACGACAAGTTAAATGTTACAGCAGAGCCGGGCTGTGCTGAGCGGGGCTGGTCCCCACCCCAGCTGGGCGTAGCAGGGTGTTTTGGCACCCCCCATCCCCGGTGGGACCCGCCCTGTGCCCACGGTGCCAATCCCCGGCCCGTTCTCTCCTCCTTTCCCTTCGCTCCTTTGGGCGCCCAGGCCGTGGCGCTGACAGGGATGGGGCCGAGAAGGGGAACAGGGCCGGGGACGGGGCAGGGACGGGGCCAGGCGCGGTGCCGGTGGCTCCGGGTGTGCGCGGGGCCCCGCAGCCGGGATCCGCTCCCGCACCAGCGCAGCCCCGCGCCGCAATCTGTCACGGCGGCTGGGGCTCGGCGGCTCTGCAATATGTACCTCATGTCTGGGCTGTCATCGGACATAATTCCTCCCGGCTGGCATATTGCTGATTTGTGCATAAGTGATGCGTGCAATCCACCTGAGCCGGGAGTCAGGGGTGCCTCGATCCGGGGCTGTCAGGGCAGAGTGTTTTAGTGCCTCCTGCGATTAGCTGGAATTGACAGGCCCTGAGAGCCGGGAATTGCACAACAGGGGAATTAACAGCCAGGGCTGGAGTGGAGTGTGGCACTCGTTTAATCTGCAATTTATCAGTTTGCGTGGCTCCTTGTCGCAGGCAGAAGATTACGCTCCAAAAAAAAGACGACTCTGTT